TGCCCAGGATCTGAAACTGTGAACCCCGGGCTGCAAAAGTGGAGCGTGCGAACTTAATCACTACACCACTGGGTCAGCCCCCAGAGGGTTTTTTCCTTCCTTTTCTTGGAGTTCTTACTGAAGTCCATCCAGCTCAGAGCACAAGGATGCTCAGAAGGCAGGAAGCTCAAAGACGCATCAACACTGTCTTCCAAAGGGTGCCTCAGTACCCTTAGCACTTCTGAGCCTGCACCCCTAGGAAGCTTGGGAGCCCCCAGCTAGTATTAAAATCCTTGGATAAGGACAGCCTTGGGAGTCTGCAAGCTAGGTGATTCCTGATCATCCACTTCCTTCCAGATAAACAGTCTTCCCCTAAGCTTTGAGAAGACCTAGTGTTCCCTGAAAGACACAAGGAATGGCACTCAATTCCCCTGTGACTGTTACTCAGAATTCAGTAGGAGTGACTACAAGAATTAAAGTCTTGTGCAGTCTGAAAGTCAGCTTTGCACAATTTCAGGTTGGGGTTCAGGGTTCAAAGTCACTCCCAGGATCCAGCTCTGTTCCAGGTGTTTATTTACAATGGAGCTGCTGTCACTGTGTCATAGCAAGAGACTCTTCCAACCCGCAAATGCATACCTGTGGCCCTGCGGTGGAACGGGAGTGAACCGGTGAGTGAGGGAAATTTGTAAGCAAATCTATTCTAGGGGACAGAGCAGGCAACACTGGCACCTGTAGCCTGGTCCGATTTTATTATGTGCTTCCAATAGAAAAAGTGAAATGTGGATCCCACCTGTGGGCTTGGGCATTAGGCAAACTTATGTTTAAATCTCAGCCCTGCCACTTTCTACCTGTGGGGTCTTGGGTAAGCTACATAACCTGGATTTCCTCATCTATAAAATGAGGACTGCAACATCCACCTAAAAGGGCTGACAGGAGGGTGAAAGTGATGATGTCTTTAATGCGCCTGGCCCAGTGCCCAGACTAGTAACTGCCAGCAGCCATCACCATGGACACAGTGGAAACGCTCTGCCCAGGGGACGCTCTTGGCTCTGCTTCTAAGTAGCTGTGTGACTTTGGGTAAGTCCCTTCATCCTTCCAGGTTCTCATCTTCACGTCTACAGGACGAGAGGTTTAGACCAGATGATCTTGTCTTTGGACTTAAAATTTTGTAAGCAAGCCTGGAGGACGAGACCTGCACGTGGATGGAATTTAGAGATGCTGCCCTGTGCCCTTTCCAGCTCTCTCTCCTCCCTTGTAAAAGTCATGAGGTGATCCAGTAAATGCTGACCTCAGTTTCCTGGCTGACCTCCTGCGGGGTAATTACATTCTGGCTCCTGTCAGCTCCTCTCTGTGTCAGCAGGATGAGTGCAGAGTAAAGGGCCTGGCGTTCTGGAAGCAGCTGTTCAGGATCCCCGCTTGACATGCTGCACAAACCCAGCAGAGGATGGGCTTGTGGGACACAGGGGCTGGGGAAGAAGGCTGTCATAATGTAAGAAGAGCCTACGTTTCTCCTGGATCCCTGTCAATGGAATTATGAATATCTTTATCTCATATTAGCCTCCTTAATAAAGCATCTACCTCACAGAGCTGTTGGTACGAATCAGTTAGATACTGCCTATAAAGTACTTTGTAAGGACATATAATTAATGTTATTTATTTGGTAAACATTTACAGAGCTCTTTCTAGGTGGCAGGTACTGTTCTAAGTCCTTTATAAGTGTTAACTCATTTGATCATCATGAAAACTCTATATAGTAGGTATTATTGTTATCCCCTTTCTATAGAACTGAGGCACAGAGAAATTAAGTAACATACCCAAGGTCACACAGCCAGCAAGTGGTGGGGCTAGGATTTTTAACCTTAGCTAATCTGCTTCTGGAATGTGTGCTCCTAACCACTACACCAAGCTGCCTCTCTTAATATTACTAATGATACTTGGCAAGGCAATCTACTGTCACCTTAATGTGGATTAATCTTCCCAACAATCCTGAGAAGACCCATTTTACAGAGCAACTAGATCAAGGTAGCAGAGG